TGAGGACTATGTCACCACAGACCCAGGAACCACTGAGGACGATGTCACCACAGACCTAGGGACCACTGAGGACTATGTCACCAAACACCCAGGGAACACTGAGGACTATGTCACCATACACCCAGGGACCACAGCAGATGATGCCACTAAACCTGATGACACTCACCCTCAGGGAACAGCTTTGGTCACAGCAGTGAAACCCACCTGCCTCCTGACAACTACGGGCATTATCCTCATTTCCCTGGCTGCCACCGCAGTCAGTGCTGCGGTCTTTGTTGGACTGGGCTTTGTTGTGGTGAGTGTGCGGCCTGGGAACCTGCAGGCCACCATGGGAATGAGGCTTCTGAGGATGAGGAGGTGGCCTGGAGCTGACTGCAAAGGCACAGAATGGTCAGGGGTCAGGGCAGCCGCAGCAGAGCTCACCCTGCGGAGACACAGGGAGGGAGGCGGAGTGGAGGGAAAGGAGCCGGCATAAGGGAGAGGAAGCTGGAGAGACAGAGGGAGATGGAGAGGAGGGGACAGGACAGAGGGCGAGAGGAGGGTAGAGGACAGAGGGTGAGAAAGCAGAGAGGTAGAGCCGTTTGGTACAGATGGATGTAGAGGAAAACTAGGATTGGGGATCAGAGAAGTGCAAGAAATGGAAACATTTTGGATGGTCCACTCATGTCAGAAATTACATATTTTTGCGTGAATTACTACCCACTCTGGAGTTCTGCAAAAGATTTTTTTAAAACTGAAATTGGGTAGGTTTTTATGAGCACGATCGCTCTACACTGGAGAGACAGTTTGTCATGGCTCTCGAAGCGGAGCTCTGAGTGTTTTTCTGTCTCTGAGAGGCCCCGCTGTTTCCGCAAGAGGAGATAAAAGGCTTCCGTGCCAGCCCTGTGTGCTTTGTCCCACCGAACCACAGCTGGAATTGTCCCAAAAGCCATGGCAGGGGGTTTCCCACAAGATAGTGCCCCAAACCATGCCGGGATGAGGCCAGTGGTGTTTCGAAGAGAGAAGCGCTAAGTGCCCGGTGGTCCTCCGCAGCATTTATGAGGGAACTTGTGTATGGGGTGCTGCGGCGTATGCTCTTGGGTGACACTGTGTCCTACCTTAGGCACTTCCGCAGTGGGGTCGGGTATGGAGTTTACATTAGAGATTAGGGAATGTGGCTCAGGGCCACAACCTGGATACCTTTGTCAGTGCCTGGGACTGTTCAAGACCCTGGCCTGGGTTCAAGCCTGCCAGGAAAAACCTTTAGCTGGCTGGTCACAGAGCAGTCAAGGCATTCTGTGATTTTTGGTCAGGACACAGAAAGAAAGCTGGAGGGAACGGGGGACCCTATGCTGTGGCTTCCTCTTGCTGACTTTTGGTCCGAAACCCAAGCCTTCCACTGCTGGTCTGCTGCTTGATGGGGGAGGGCTGGGCCTTTTCGGTCTTCCTGACCTAAGGATTAAGTGCACGCTGAAATTTTAACAAGTGATAGCTTGCAGGACTAGCCAGCTCTGGCAGCTCATTAAAGCCTCATTAACTCTTGTTGGTCATCGATGCCATTGTGCACTGACCTCTGCCCCAAGAGGCAAACCCACAGGTTTGGATCAGTTTGTAGGTGTGAGTAAAGCCGAAAGTAATGCATTACACAGTTGAGGTGTTCACATTTAGTTCCACCAAAATGACAGCATGAAACTAGAGCATTCTGAAGGGTATTGACTACCGGAAAATGAAACGAAAGCTTCCATAGGACTTGACTCGCACACGAGTCGTGTTCAATACTCACCAGCAGAGGGAAGACCTTCTGGACTTGGCTGCTGTCCCCAACGCGTGGATTTCTGGTCACGTGGACCACGAAGAAAAATCAGACACCGTTGCTCTAGGTTGAAGGATACTCTCCTCCCTCCAAACCAGGCGCCTAAGCACCGGCGCAGAGTGGTCACTAGCAGTGGCACCTTCTTAAACTCTCGTAGAGACTGAAAACAAGATGTTTCGAAAGGCTAGGGTACAAGAAGTGGAAAGTCTGTGTTTCCAAACTTGCTGAATTTTTACCTTTTAAACTTCTGGCACAAAAGGTTTTAAAAATAAGAATTATCTCTATTACCATCCCTTTCCCCAGTTCCATTTACCAAAACGTTTTTTTTCGCCTGCATGACTTCAACATTTTTGGAAATTATATATCTCTAGAGGTTAGTGTCGGCATCTGAAGAAAACAGTGACATGCAGGGGAGTCATGGAGTCAGGGAGATGGGCTGGGGCGATCTTGGCAAATCACAAACCACCAGGGTTAAGAGAGGAACAGAGTCTTAAAACCAAACCACTTTCTTCCTTCTGAGAAAAAGTGTTTCCTGCGTCCATTACATGCAACCACGGGGACTATTTATCGTCCCCATGCCATGGACTGGCGCGCACTGTAACAAGGACCCCAGCAGTGACTGCAGTCGGTTCTGGTCAGACCAGACCCCCATCAGACTCTGCAGGACCATGAAGCATGATGTGCTTCCTCGGCTTCCACGCCCCTCCCCGGCTGGAGCCCGGGGACCACCAGTGAGGAAGGCATCTGGCCCTGGGAATGAGCACGCCAAGGACACGCAGAAGGATTCCTGTCTGCTCTGAGTGTCTCCTGATTCCGTCTGGCCACAGTGACTTCCTCAGGAAAATTGTCCATACCCATGTAGCGGGTTTGGTCATGAAAATTATTTAGGGGAGTTGCACACCGCTCAGATCTAAGAGATAATCCTTAAGTCCGATTAAATCAACAACACAAATGTTTGTTTCTGTCTGGGTCACATCTCTGCATCCATTTGTTCAACAAAATAGTCGAGTGCCTGGCTTGGGCCAACGCCCTATGCCTCTCAGTCTGTCCACCTCAGTCTATCTGTCAGCTGAAGGATGTGACTCTCTGGCCTCTCAGGAGGGCTGTGCCCAAGCTCTCCCAACCCCCAGACCAAAGGATCTTGTCCACAGGGTGCAGCCGGCTGCTCATTCCGCAAATGGCACTGAGCACCTCTGTGGACTGGCCAGCGAGCAGACAGTGGGCTTCATCTCAGTCGCGGTGGGAAACGAGGAACGCAAAGTCCAGACCTGACTTCTGACTGAGAGGACGTGTCTGCCTCACAGAGGGAGGGACTCCTTCCGTTGCAAAGGCCCTTGAGCAATGGCTGAGACTGCTGACGGGGCCAGGGCGTTGAATAGCACCACGAGGTGAGGAGTTCAGGATGAAAAGCAAAGGAGCTTTAAAGATTGTTGGCTATTGTTTTGCTCGTGATTTATGCCACTATTACCAGCATCACCACCACTGTTATATAGTGGGATTATAGTATTATGGTGTAGAATCAGAAACACAGCATCGTAAAATAGTAGAATCCAGTTTGAGTTTGTGTCTCCACAACTCACACCACACCTATTGTCATGCAGGCATTATGGCTGCCAGTTGACTGAGATTCAAGCCGCTTGCCCGACAGTGCTGAAGACAGGCACTTACAGTGATGGTGTCTATAGGAGATGACAAGGCACGTGATTGGCCGTAGGTGCTCTGGGGCACCGAGAAACTAAAAAGACTAGAGATTCACCACTGGCCAGCTGGGCACCTTGGAGCAAGTCCCTTCACTTCTCACAGCCTCGTTTCCCATCTGTACAATGAAAAGAATTGATGGATTAAATACGTATTAAACTGGTATTTCTCAAAATTATGTGATAAACCCTTTTAAAGGAAAAGAGATTTTTTTGAGAACTCCCAGTGTTGGCTTAAAGTAGTTTTATTAAATTACATAGGTATATAACAAACAGAAAATGAAGTATAAATTCCTTATGCTTGCGGCACTACTGTTCCAATAAAGTTAGAATAACAGCAGTAATTTAACGTGATGCATGATATTCTTTTGCTAAAAATTCCTTCCTCCCTACATTAACACGGTACCGATTGCTACAGAGTAGTTATGAAAATCTCCCGTGGCACGCGCTGTCTTCCTTCTTTCATGCATTTTCTCTGTACGAACTCTCTCCAGACCTTCAGTCTCTCAGCCAGCTGGGGGATTATCTGGCCCTCGCTTAATCAAAATGCACCATTTAAATTTTGAGACAGTCCTTGTTCTGTTACAGCAAGTGTTATAGCAAGTGGTCCCGAGGACAAACTGAGC